GGTTGAGGGGTTTAGGGTTTGGGGCTCAGGGCCAAGTCTCTCCTGGATTCTAGTGCGGTTCCTTCCAGGGCACTTTAAAGGGTTCTAAACCTAAACTCTAAAAAACCCACAACCTCTAAACCTGCCTTGAGAGCCCAATAAACGAAAAGATTAAACTTTTTTGGGCCAGGGTACTGGGAAGCTAAGCTTTTTGAACCCACAACCTCTAACCTTTACACCTAAACCCTTTTTAACCCATAACCTCTAAACTTTCTACCTAAGACCCTTACTAAGGGTGACTGATTGGTCTCCTGGGGTTGGGGTTCTGGGGTTGACGGCTACTGGGTTTAGGTGTCGGGGTGTAGGGTTTAGGGTTGAGGGGTATAAGGCATTCAGGGTTTAGGATTTAGGGTTTGTGGTTTAGGGATATCGGGTTTGTCATTTACGACCAGGAGATGAAGGTTGAGGAATAATTAGTTGAGTGCATCGGAGTTCGATTCTCGGTTCTGGTACTACGTACTCCGATTTGGCAATTGCCAGATGTCTCTCGATAGAAGCATGTGTGTATGTTTGCAAGGCCGTAGCTGCAGGCGCAAACAAGGATGCTTATTTGTCAGTTTTCCGAATATCGCAGTATAACGCTAAGAAGCTGCTACATTGTGCACTTAATAATATGATTCCAATGATCTCTGTGTGTGTTCGTATGTCGGTGTACGTAAGAGAGGTAGAGTCTCATTCCTTCGTTCGTTCGTTCGTTCATTCCTTCCTTCTTCCTTCATTCAGTCGTTCGTTCGTTCATTCATTCGTTCAGACCTTCCTCCCTTCCTTCTTCCCTCCTTGATTCAGTCAGTCAAGCATTCAGGTATTCATGCATTCATCTAGTCCTGTACTCAGATATTTACTTCATCCATCCCTCCATCCATCCACCCATCGACCGATCGATCGTCGTCGGCGGCATTGCTGTCGTCGGTGTTGTCGTTCATCTTCGATGTTGGTCTCATCTTCGGGCTTCTGCAGCTACTGCAGGTGACTTTGCTTTGCCGATGTTCATGCTTGCCTGCAATTGCCATACTGCCATGGTGTTTCATGGCGAATTACCCGATAATTGGTACCATGATTCAGACTAGAGGTTTGCCCTAGCTGTTTCCAGCACCCACTCCCCATGTGTTTTTGTCTTCGAATCCTTCCAAGACACAACCGGTGCTGGCCGTGCTTGTTTTGTTTCGGCCACCGCCATCTCGGCAACCATCAAGCAGAAATGACATTAGTGTCATCACCACCTTCATGGTCATCTTCGTCATCATTTCAATCGTCCAAATGGCAGTCATCAGCACTATCACCATCAGCATCCTCAGTTTGATAATGCTGGCAGTGTTGATCCTAGGCAGTCCTGTGGTAAATTTATGTTCTGGTTGGGCTGTGGTTTCAGCATCAGGGTGACAACCGTGAGCGTGATGCTGCCGACCAAGATGCGTGTCATGATGATGACACCAAATTGGCGTGACGGCGGTAGTGCTTTGGTGATGTATATGATGATGTTGGAGATGTTTGTGCTACTAATATGGGTAGTTCTCTAAATTAGGGTCCCTTTTTATAAGGGTGCCGTACTACATTGGGGACCTAAAAAGGGACCCTAATTTAGAGAACTACCCATATGATGATGAAGAAGTTTGTGATACTGATATCATAGTGATGGTGACAGTCTTCAACAACTCGCGGGGACATTGTTCACTGGATGATGCTTCTGAGTGATGTTGAATAGAACGACAGCGACGATGATAATGATGATCGTGAGGATGAGGTAGAAGATGACGATCATGATGATGATGAGGAGGAGGAGAATCATAGAGAAGTCATTGCATGATGATAGCGGCGAGGAGGTCGAGGACAAATCGATTTTGGCTTGGAGATGTTTCTTGTGTGTACTAAGGCTGTTCAGGGCGAACAGAGAGTTCTGGGTTCAGTGTGCTCTACCTACTGGCTCCATTGTAGTTCAATTTTGGTTACTTAGGTTCATAGTGAGCTGGCCCCCAGCAACTATAACTTACGACATGACTGCTGATGCACAACACACGTTACAGCCTCAGCCGTGTTCAGCATAATCTAGGGGTCGGAAGATAATTCGGAATAGTACGCCCATCTGATTATGTTACAACATACCCCCAACACCTCTTCGAAGTATGCGGGCCCTTATAATGACCCTGTCAAACCCTTACAAAGGCCTGATTGTAGAACCCGTAAAGAGCCCTAATTAACCCTAAACCCTAAACTCCTGTTTTGTGTACAGGCGAAGAACAGCGACAGAGTGCGCGAGTCTTGCTGTGGCAGCTTCTTGGGCACGATTGCGCTTCAGGGTTTAGGGTCTAGGGGCGCAGGTGCTTTTGACTTCCAGGGCTGCGTCCGCTTGGGTGGAATATGGTGGCGGCAATCATGACATTTTTTGTGGAGGTTCGTTAGTATTTAGTGCATTTACACGGTATTATGCTTCAAGATACCCAAGGTTTTCGTGTTTAGTGTTTAGGGCTTAATTTATGCAGGGTTTGATGAGTACACCGCACACCTATCTAGAGTTGCTTTGGCTTTTCCAGCTGATGAGGTACGTGATGATATGTAGTCTTATGGCAGAGCATGCGCGCACAAATTCCCATGTCGATTCGTCAGCCACGTCCATGTGACTACACGATGCTCACTGGGCAGCACCAGCACAGCCCATCATTCCCGGACAACCCGAGCACTCTATACCGAAAGTCCTGCCACTGCAAGCACCGCATAGCCCCTACCTGTCAAGAAATATAGGGGTCGGAATAATGTGCAACATTATCTCCGTATAGCCCTGCATGTTTATAGATATTTGTACTATCGTATGCCCCGAAAACCTATGGAAATTATTGACTTAAATGTTGCATCACAAAGGACGCTTTACACAGCGGTATAGAACCTCCGCAAAAGAAGGGCTTTGTGGTTTCCTTCGAAATGTCTCACAATTCCGTCCCCTGTCCTGAGCGCACAGGTTGCTGTCGGAGCCCAAAAGTCTCTTCGGCATCCTGGCCTGAATATCATTGCGTTTAGAGTTTAGGGCCAGAGGGCAATGCCGGAACCTTGATGTCGTTCTATTCCGGGGTCCATACTACAGTGTCTTATATATGTGGGATGAAAAGGGGGGGGGTGTAGGGTTTGATGTGGGCAGTGTAAGAAGCTGATTACGATTCGAACACACCTGGTTCAAGGACCCCAAAACTAGCGGCATCCACATTATCATGAGTAGCCCTAATACAGAAGCAAAAGATAATTACCAACATTATTCCTTGGGCTCCTTATAATAACTAGCCTATCACAGGCGCCCAAACCTTATTCTAAGTATGCAGGTCGGTTTAGGGTTTAGGGTTTAGGTCCCTATAGGGTGTCTTGCTGAGCGTCCCATATCAGTGGGGGGCGTTTGGAGGAAGTCGCATGCTCTCACAGTCTGGCTTTAGGGTTTAGGGTTTAGAGTCTGCCTGTAGTCAAACTTAAACCCTAAACCCCTAAACCCTAAACCCTAAACCTCCTCTTCTGGATGTACCCAGGATCCTAAGCATGGGTTGGTTCAACCAGAAGATTTACAATGGAGACTCGAAAGATGACCTCAGGCACAATGGTCGGCAGCAGTGGCTGGCTTAGATGCATGCTTGCTTTCCTTACCCTAACCCTTCAGCCCTAAACCCTAAACTCTAAACTCTGAACCTTTGTTTTTGCACCCGCAGTTCCGGAAACCCCACAGCATCCGCATCAGCCTGCACTGGGACTGAAAACTCATAGCGCTGTGTCTTTAGAATGCGACCTGCACGCAGCCCCTTCCGTGCTCTTTGTAGCATTGACATACTGAGGGTTTAGGGGTTCAGGGGTTTAAGATAGGGGCCGAAAGAATTACCAATACTATTTGTAGGGCTCCTTATTATAAGTGTATTTTGATATACACCAAAGCCATATTCTAATTATTAAGGCCCCTACATGAGGGTTTAAGGTTTAGGGTTGAAGGCTTAAGACTCGAACCTCTGACTCAAATCTTACCCGAAAATCGAACTTGTAAGCTCACTCTGATATAGAAGCCCAAATGATTACCAAAAAATCTTCCTTAGGGCTCCTTATCCCTGGGTCTAGGGTTTACGCTTTGGGGTTTGGTAGAGTTATATTGATGATTACAACTATACTCTACTGTAAAAGAGCCCAAACTACCAAAGCCCCTACATGACAGCCTTTCAGCCCTCAACCACCCCTTAGCCCTGCAGCCCCCAAAGCCCAAGCAGACCCTAAACCCTACACCCTACACCTTAAACCCAACACCCTAAACCCTAAACCCTAAACCTAAACCTTAAACCCTAAACCCTAAACCCTAAACCCTAACCCCTAAACCCTAAACCCGTTTGAAAGACGTGGCCTAGACCCTGAAGCCCTGTAGCAACTTTCAAGGACACGAACCCCAGGGGCCCGTAACCCTGAAAGCCCTAAGAAGACCTCCAAAACCCCTAAGCCCTAAAACCGAAAATCCTAGAACCGTAAACCCTAAAACCCTAAACCCTAAAATCCTAGAACCTAGAACCCTAAACCCCAAAACCCCAAAATCCCCCTAAGCCCTAAACCTCCTAAGGTGCCGAGGGCTTCACCCTCCGGGCCGCGCTGAAGGCAGCAAAACGCCGGGGCGCGTCCTCACGGGGCGAAGAGCTGCTCGAAAGATTTGGTGCCTGTAGGCTTTCGGGTTTAGGGTTTAGGGTTTAGGGTTTAGGGTTTAGGGTTCAGGGTTTAGGGTTTAGGGTTTAGGGTTAGTTTAGGGAGTTTAGGAAGTTTGGGATTTGAGGGTTTTTGTACCTTAGGGGGTTGAGGAAGTTTAGGATTGAGGTTTTTGGTACTTTAGGGGGTTGAGGGTTTAGGATGGAGAGTTATGTACTTTAGGGTTCAGTTTTCATGGGCTCTATGCCATGCAGGATGGTTGGTTGGTGGTTCTTCATAAACTCTATTCGGCTCAAGGTTCTTGCTGGGGTGTAGTGTTTCGTGACGGTGTTTGGAGAAACCCCAAACCCTAAACCCAAAGCCCTAAACATGCCCAAAACCCTAAACCTCTAAGCCCTAAACCCTAAACCCCTAAACCCCTAAACCCTAAAGTCTAAGCCCCAAACCCTGAGCCCTACACCCTAGACCCTCGAACCCTTCAACCCAAAGCCCTGGACGCGTTGCCAAACCTTGACCCCCGGAGCCTTTTAAAAGCCTCACACATACTATGGGGGCCTAAAGCTTGTTAGCCCAACAGGTAAACTTCAAACTTTTTTGGTATATTAAATCCTCACTAAAAAGAAAAGCTTAAACTTGTTTGGGCCAGGGTACTGGGAAGCTAAGAAAGAAATTCCTATACTGTATTATTTTGGGGGCTCCTTACTATAATTATAGTATACTGGGCCCCAAAACCCTACTCCAATTATTAAGGCTTCTACATTACCCTCATCTCTACACCCGGAGCCCTACACCCGAAACCATGTAGGGTTTTGGGGTTTGGGAGTTTAGGGGTTAAGGGTTCAACCCACCCTTTTTTATTGTGTGGTTTTTGGGGTTAGGGCTTAGGGGGTAAGCTGAATAACAGGAGAAACGGGCGCCTTTGTTGATAAGCGGTCACTCAGGAACCTAGTCAGTAGAATGGGGCTTCTGTAGTAGTAACGTGGTTTAGGTAAGTGGTCCCCCATACAGGTACCCTGTACCCTAAACCCTCGGACTCGTTGTGTAGAGTCGGGCTTTGGGGTTAATTAAGGGGTCACTCAAGAACCTCGTCCAGGTCCTCGGAGAGAGGTTGCCCTTGAGATCGTCGACTTGGGCTCATGGTTTTTAGGGCTTTTGGGGGTCTAGGGTCTAGTCTAGGGCTTTCAGATTTTAGGGTTTGGGGCTTTTGGGGATCTAGGGTTTAGGGCTTTTGGGGTTTTATGGTTTTAGGATGGTTCAGGGTGTAGTAGAGTTTGTTTAAACTTCTTTAACCTTCTTGAGGTACCATGATCCCGAGATAATCCCAAAGGTTTAACTTTGACCTTGTGTTCCACTGGGATACTGTAGAAGTACGTGGCCCTAACCCCTAAACCCTTAAACCCCTAAGCTCCTAAACCCTTAAACCCCCAAACCCCCAAACCCTAGACCCTAAACCCCTAAACCCCTAAACCCTAAACCCTAAGTGGGTGGGGGAGGGGGGTTAGGCTTAGTGGTTTAGGGTCTCAGTTTAGGCTGCAGGGGGCGGAGGGGTGTAGGGTTTAGGGTTTAGGGTTTAGGGGTTTGGGGTTTAGGGCTTAGGGGTTTAGGGTTGAAGGTTTAGGTTTCAGGTCAACCTGGGGGGGCGGGGCATGACTTGGTTGATCCGGATTCGGCATGAGAAAAGGCCATGGAGTGTAAGCCCTAACCTCCCCTAAATTTAAACCATCCGAATGGCACCTGATTAAGAAATCCTGCCCAAACTGTGAGGATTCGCATAAAAAGAACTCTAGCAAAGACCCGGTGTTTCTCAATCAGGCTCCTAATGTAGGGGCCTTAACAATTTGAATAGGGGATATATTTTACTAGAATTATAATATGGAGCCCCCAAAATTGTAGGGTTTAGGGTATAATATAGGTAATTATTTAGGCCCCTACAGTACATTAAACCCAAACCTCTGAGAATCATCGAGGCTGTCGCGCCAGCTGAAAATCGAGTTGCTGGAGGTGCGACGTGCGGGGCCGGAGTGTCCCTGGGTTTAGGGTTTAGGGTTTAGGGTTTAGGGGTTTAGGGTTTAGGGTGTAGGGTGTAGGGTTTAGGGTTTAAGGGTTTAATTAAGGGTTTAAGGGTTTAGGGTGTAGGGCTTAGGGTTTAGGGTTTCAACCCTAAACTACTTGCCCACAAGGAGGTATATAATAATGGACTATGAGCTGTTCCCCTAAAGCCTAACCCTAAAACCCGGAGGAGTGGGGGGCAACTTACCGGGGACTTCGCATTTAGCTGTAGGGCTTTAGGGGTTTAGGGGTTTAGGTTTTTTGGATCTTAGGATTTGTTGGACAGTGTAGTATATGGGATGAGTAGAATAGAGTTTTGGGATATTTCATACTGTCGCTATACTAAACCCGAATATAGCATAATCAAGTCGGTAAGTCTCTTCGGGCCCCTATGTTATGTACGGCTCCCTAGGGGATACTGGTGAGAGAGGAAGCCTACACCTCCAGGCCTACGCCTTCTACCCTAAACCCCTAAACCCCTAAAGCCCTAAACCCTCAACCACTAAACCCCTAAGCCCTACCTTCATCTTCGCACGTTTTGGGGTTTAGGCATTAGGGTCCAGGATTGGGGTTTACGGTTTAGTGCATTAAGTGTTTAGTGCAGTTAGGGTTTAGGGTTTAGTGCATGTAGGGTTTAGGGTTTCAGGATTGGGGTTTAGGGTTTAGGGTTTAGGGTTCAGGGTTTAGGGTTTAGGGGTTTAGGGTTTCGGTAGATTTGAGGCGCCCCCCCTCCCCCAGAAAAGGTTAGGGTTTAGGGGTTTAGGGCCAACTTGTTGAGCCTGTAGTCCGCAGCCTTACACCCGGAACCCTAAACCCAAATCCCCTGAATCCTAAAGCTGCCCCCTAAACCCTAAGCCCTAAAATCTAAGCCCTAAACCCTAAAACCTAAAGCCCAGGGTCACCCTTACAAGAACCCCGAAAGGAACCCTGAACCCGCTGAACCTAAACCCTAAACCCCTCAATCCCTAAACCGCTACAAACCTAAGCTCTAAGCCATAAGCCCGACAGCCTCTAAACCCTAAACCCTGAGCTCCTAAACCCCTGAATCCCTAAACCCCCCAAAACACCTAAGCCCTAAACCCGGAGCCCTAAACCCCGAAACCCCTGAACCCTAATATAAGGGCCTTAATAATTAGAATAGGGTTCTGGAGGTTCCTTATTATAATTAGGGTTTAGGGTTTAGGGGTTTAGGGTTTAGGGTTTAGGGTTTAGGGTTTAGGGTTTAGAGTATAATAAACTCCAAAACCCTATTCTAATCATTCAGGCCCCTATATTAGACCCCTGAA